CTATAAGAATGCATGTTTGTAATTTTTTTTTGTTTTAAGTCATGTAATATTCGCTTTTGCTCCTTACAAAATATTATTTGAAAAAATTATAAATATTACATTCTGTCACTTCTGCTAAGTACGAGAATTAGGAGCAATTAACAGTTTTAAAGTAATAAATATAAATTTATCTATGCATCATTTTAACCTTATAAAAATAACAATATATGGCACATAAGAATAAAAGAATATTACGAAATCAAATAAAAAAATGACGTTAACATTTCTAAAATAAGTTTAACCAATTAAATTATTGTTCAGTTAATATAGAAGTTTTATCTAGAACACCGGTATATATAGGTCTCAGCGCTGGCTATGTTCGCCTTAGAGAGACTCTTAACAAGATTAACCTAAGCTCTACAAAAGAATTTACGAATTTACTAAACGAAATGAACGGGACTGGAGGAACATGTTTCTATGTCTATTTGTTTCTAATTTGATTTCACGAAAGAATAAAAGTAGAGAATTTAATTTAGTAGTTTATTTAGATTAAATAGTAATAAATGGGAAAATCTATACAATTACAGCGTAAAGACACACTTCTTTGTTGCTTAAGATGTCAGCAATCACAGCATATTTTTGAATAATTCTTTTTTTAATAAAAAGCCCTACACTCACGTCACGCTAGGCTATATATTTTAAACGCTATTAAACTTAGAGGGTAAATATTTTGGATAAAAACCCTAATGTGGGAAAGAGACCATAAGTTGCTGACAACATCAAAGAAGCAAGATTGCCATAGAAGGTAATTGGTATTTTGACATTTGCAATTGAGAATTTGACAAATGCAAACAATACATTTATAATTTCATGCGGATCAAGCCGCACGCGTACAGCTAGTAGATAGATATTTTTTTAGAATTCTAGTATTCAATTCTTCCTTCTTTAGTATGTATATGTCATAAGTCAACGTTAAAGATTCAGACCAGTAACATTATTTGTTGCAGTAACACGATCACACACGTGTCTAGTGGAAAAAGTATCTCAAAATTCTATACCTCACTTTTTTACTTTTTTATATTCAGAAAATTAACCAGTGGAAATAGCACTTAAGTTAGAGTAAAACAAGTCATCTAAGTTTACGCATCTCATGCCATTGACATCGGAATAATGATGGGCTCCATTCATAAGAAACTGGTTTTTATATAAATAATAATAACACAACACACAACAGTGGTATGGGCATGTTATGAGGAGGGATGAATCGCATGTTACAAGGAGAACGTTAGTTATGAGTGTGGAAGGGTACACCGGTATAGGTAGACCTGGAAAGAGATGGATGGATTGCGTGAAAGGTGACGTGATCAAAAAGGGAGTGATGACTGTCATCACTCACTGAGATGACGTATGATAGAATTATTTGGAGGACAAAAACCTATTATGCCGACCCTACGGGAGTAGGATAAGAAGTATAATGAATAGTGTAAAACAACTACACGTCTTGACTATGAATACATCATTACAATTACAAATAATACAGAATACATAATGCACTATGATTAAAATTGTCATCACTAAGATGTGTTTGCGTTACGGAAATCGCATTTAAAATATGTTTGTCGGTCTGTGTGTCTGCAAGCGGCGTTTGTTCTGGGTAATCTCTTAAACAGCTAGGCTAACTTTGACCGGACCTTCGAGGATGCTGACATAGACAAGTTACAGGCTACTCTTTTATTCCGCGCTAACGAAGTTTGAAAGAACTCGTTTCATAATTGTGACATCATAGCCCTTAAATCGAAATAGATGTTACATTGTAATAGATATTTTCTTCGTGCTTAGTGTAAAAAACAAACATATTAATAAGAATTATTTTCAGAATTATTACAAAGTGTACCTATCATATTTCTCCATTTGACACAATTTATGCTTAGTTAAATTTAACAAGTCCTCGTGGAATTATTTCTTTTATAATTAGCATGTTTAGTTTCCTGAGCAATTAAGTTAATTCGTAGTAACATTTAATAGCGCCACAGTTTCGCAATATTTTAGATTGCAATCGTTCATGGCCATCTAGCGAGTAAGGTTCTTGTTTCCTACGTTGTGGGGCGTTTGTTTTTAATGTGATGAATTTCTTTTAAAGGAAACTTAACTATTTTAGCCCTAAATCTTTTTATATTAGCTTTCACCTGAGATTCCGTCTGTGTGGAATTAAAAAAAAAACAAACAAAAGTACGCTATGTATTCTTACAGACTATCTACATTTATGCCAAATTTCATTAAGGTCCGATAAGCAGTTTAGGCTACAAACTAACAAACATCTGTCTAAACATTTATATAATTTTAGTAAGATTAATGAATGACATTGGCTTCATTATAATTACGCTAGTGATAACTCCTAAATTAACTAACGAGTTTGGAATAACCTCTTGTACCTTTTAAAATCCAACTTTTATATTCCTGTAGCGGTTAAAAAAATACATGAAATATAACAAACGGTTCCTTTTAACCAGGATATGAAGGCGTTCTGACTACATTTTAGAATATTATGCAAGCCAAAGCATTTCGAAACCTGAAGTCCGCGCCTTCTGAGATAAATGGTTTCGCTGCACAATATCAAAATACCGGTTTGTAAATTATTTTATCGATTATTTACTTTTAGACATGAATATTTTAAAAAAAAGGTAAACAAGAGAATATTCAATTGTTTTTCGTGCGTTAAACCAAATGGTTTATTTTATAAACCAAATGATTTATATTGTAAACCATTTGGTTCAAATACACTTCCAGTTAGTTTAAATACCGCTTATAAGCAACAGTGATTCAAATATTTTATTGACTTCAGATATATTATCTTTTTGAATAATCAAATTGTAAAAAATATACACCGGTAGTAGATTTCGATAACGTACAATTCGAGCGGCGGATTCCTTTGACTTATATAGTTACAGTGTTGTCTACAGCCGGGAGAATGGTCAGCTTGACATTGGACACCCCACCCACTTTCCGAAGGCCGTAACCGTACGCGGTGCCTCTCGAATTATCATGAATTTTGATACTATGACAATTCACATAACTATTGATAACTTGTAAACCATCAAGATACCTTTATACTACCTAACGTTATAAGCAGAACTGTAATAATATGTAGTTTAATTTTTTCGTATCTATCTTTTTAGTATTTTAGAAGCTAGACATGCATTACAGCACCTGAGAAATCTTTAGTGTATAGGTGAACGATAAAACTCCCATTTTATCCTCCAGTGACGGCACCGACTAGTTTCAAACCCTTCGGGGGTCCTTCTTCAGGGCGAGTATTAGTTAGCTTTTGTTCGCGGTCAAGTCGCGCTTTGCACTGTTAAACTTACTTATTAAATTACTATTGACTACTATTTTTTACCTTTGATCTGAAGTGGCTTTGAATTTACCTGTGTTACTCTCATTTTTACAAGACCGTAAAAACCCCGTACCGTTATTTTCAAAGGTCGTTCGAGGAAATTAAAATACTTATCCGTCCGCAGCCCGGATAAGTATTTTAATTTCCTTAATATACAAACTTTGTGCTGATTCATAATTTTACACGAAGCACTACACGGAGGGTATGGTGTTTAAACAGGCAGTGAAGCAGAGGCTAGGCGACCTTTACGTTTGCTTACATTCTTCTATAGTGGGACCACATGGCGTCACTTCGTAGATAATCATGAGTCATCGAGCCACGAATGAAGATGGAATATAATACAGCGGTACAATCTATACCGGCATTAAGGATAGGTAGGCCATAGGTCTTGGTGCAAAAGAGGACGCCATAGAATTCTAGCCCAAGGCGCTAGTAGAATTAGAACCGACACTCATCTTGATTAATTAGATTTGTAGATTATAAAAAATTAACTTAGAAAGACACGTTTTACAAGTTCGACAAGACTTTTTCGCATTGCATTAAAAGTATTGAAAAAAAAAAACAAATTACAATTTTACGCTTGCTACCTCAATGTGTGGTACAAATAGCCAAGAAAAGCGGAAAATAATTTATGTCTCCAGTTAACTTTGTAAGCTTTTGAGGCATAGTTATCTAGTTAATGCCTTGCTGTTACATTACAAGCGTGAAAATAGATTTATTATATGAATTATAATTTCCACTTTCCGATTATATAAATCTCCTACTGCAAATTACGCATGGATTAAAATAATTTGGTAACTCGCTATAAAACGCTTATGTTTTGCACCAAACAGTTTTAATTTATCTCAAAATAGCAACTTTAAGATGTGAATAATTTTTTTAAGAACGATCAAACAATTTCAATCTTTACTTAATTGTAATAGAGTTCATATCAGCTTGGGTTTCTCACTTTGCAAGATCTTATGTTTTTGGGTGTGTTTCAAGGCCGTAATGGCACAATAACGTCGTTCTAAGTTCATTGCCACGGTCAAACTATTTTAAGATGCGGTTGGATGACGTCATTAGTCTCATGAGCTTTTTATGCATTTTGGTTTATAAATTACTTGTCTTCGTAATTACCGTTCGTGTGTGGAATGACTATAATTCTATCACGCTCAGTGCATTAATAATAAGTGAACTGTATTTGAGGTTATGTTTAATTTTATAAGGTTTGGTAATTTTGGTTATAAGTATGGTTTTAAGGTATAAATTTATCACATTTTTTTTACGACATAATATTGTCTCTTAAAAAGATTAAAACCGAGTTTTACTTTATAAGACCCGATAAATTTCGTTCTAAATCTAATAAGAAAATTGTTCAAATGGTTTCCAGAACATTCGAACGTTCTAGAATTCCCGCTTGGTAATTACATGTGACATTAGGATTCAGTTGCGGAGGAATCCGAGACGGCCAGATATTGAACAATTTATCACTATAACGCTCCAATTCATTCAGAAATGTTATATCTATTACGAAATAACGTATTGTCTTACGTTAAATCTGGTATAAATATTGAGAATAGTTTGTCAAATTATCATACATCAAACGTGTTAAGAAGAAACATCATTCAATACTAATAATATCAAAATGATTTCTAAGGTAAGAAAATATTGCAATTTAAAAGAATATTCTAAAGTTTCAATTAACTACTTCTGTTTAAATTTCATCAAAAGTTAGAATAACAAAAATATATTTATCTTATATTTTCAAGCCGTTTTATTTCAATACGATCTGTTGCCCGTGACTTCGTCCGCGTGGTATTAGAAAACATACGAACTATATAAATTACAAAAAGCTACGTATCCCTCGGGAACCGGACATTTCTCGGCGATGAAGCTTATCCCATGTGTACTCCAGACTTTGTTTTATATCTGTGCCAAATTTCAATAAGATATGTTGAACCGTTGCACACTGATGGAGTAAACATTAAAAAACTAATTAATCCACGAGAACCGTAACTATTCCTGGTATAAAAAGTAGCCTATGTGTTCTTCCAGACTATGCTCTAAACCTGTGCCAAATTTCATGGAGATCCGTTCAGCCGTTTAGGCTACAAACGCTAACAAACATCCATCTAAACTTTCACATTTATAATATTAGTAAGATTGAACTTTTGATATTTGGTTCAATCGATTACGTAGAATCTTGTAATATAGGTTAATAACATTTTGTAACAAACAGCCCTGAACTATAGTAAAAGGTACAATTAACCCGCAGACACAATTAGATAGTAACAGACTACTATCAGAAGTATAATTTAGTTTTGGATCGATATATTACCTTGTAGAAAGTATGGCAATACTTTTTCAAACAGTGGTTTAATCAAAAGAAACTGTAGAGTTTCCATAGAGAAAACCCGCAATACAGCTACTTAAATATTTTTATAATTCCTTAACCATAGCAAACTTAGACAGGACCTATTTGTAGTTATGAGTAGGTCATACTTTTTTACAAATTTTTGTTTTTCTTTTTAACAGATCGCACTTCTATACTGCCTTGTGGTGTCTGCAACATGTATGGTGTTACATCAAGCTCCTCTACCATTGTATCCTCTCCAGTATCAAGATCAAGCGCCCGGCTACAATTTTGCTTCTAACAATGGTCACCCTGGAAATTTCAATGGTCAAGAAAATCTACAAGAAATACGCCGAGGTGAAGAAAGATTAGCACAGTCTTTCCGTCAACCAGAGAACATTCCTAGGGGTGAGTATAGATCGGATGATAACGCAGGATACAACGCATATCTTAACAACGATAGGAGACAAAGCAATGAAGATAGATATGTGGAACACAACGATGAAGCAAGACGACCAAACAACCAACGTTCTCAAGTGAACCAACCTTGGCCAATTCCTAGCATCCAACAAGCCAGCCCAACTCCTGTCACCATCACACAAACATCTGTCTACCACCAGACGTACTCCCATGGCCATAAATCGTGGATATAATTATGTAAAACAAAGTAAAACAACGATTAAAAAGCATTGTTGGAATTTCGAAATATTTAAAGTCTTGAATTTGATCAAAATCTTTTTACTTCTTGAATAGCATGTCACAACGTAATTTAAATACAGTATGCTGTTTTATGGAATAAATCTGCACATAAAATTGTTTTGCTTTTTTCTTACCCGTATCTTTAATATTATGGATATTTTTTGCCCTTGTTGTATGGTAATTTTTATCGAGATATCAAAATTTTGATTAATAAAGTAAGTAATATAAACTCCACTTGGTATCTTTCTCAAGAATACAGGTTTATCGAGTATAATAAATAAGGTACTGGAAAATAAAACATATAATGAGATTACAATGCACTGAGACACATTAATCGGTGCATCGTCCTGACTCCTGATGTACTTGACTTTTAGATACTTCCTGATTTTTTAATAAGTAAACAGGTTAAGAAGTAAAACTGGAACACTCAACAAGTTATATAAATGCCCTGGAGTTTTGTGCCGGACATCATAGTGTAAAGATTCACCATAGTAGAGATACAGAAATCAAATCTCCGAGACAATGAAGGTAAAACACTTCTACTTTATATTTGTAATTTATCGCACTCGAAAATGGAACTGAGAATTGTAATCTGTGGCTTATTATTCTTCGGATTAAACTTAACCTCTATTCGTTAATGACAACGTCTTCTCCAGTGGAACTGACTCTTGGCTAAACAAATACGTTATTACAACATAATACGAACTAAGGAAATCTATTTATTTCAGGTTATAATCATCCTCGCTTTCGTGGCAATGGCCACCGCCGCGGACTTCTCCAGCTTCTCGTACGGCGTTGCTGATCCCTACACTGGTGACTTCAAGAGCCAGATTGAGAGCCGCGCTGGTGATAATGTACAAGGCCAGTACTCGCTGCTCGAACCTGATGGCACCCGTAGAACTGTCGACTATGCTGCGGGAGCTGAAGGTTTTAATGCCGCCGTGAGGAAAGACCCAGCCCTGATTGCTAGCATCCCATACGCATACGGTTATGGAAACTGGGCCCCTTACGCAGGATTTGGTATCGCGCCATACGCGTACAACCGTCTTCTTTGAATTCAAATTACCGCGGCATTGAATTTGTAAATAAATGACTTGTAAATAAAATAGGAGCCATACGACACGTTGGTATTCATTTTTTTATGACGATCAGAATGCACAAAAACACCTGCTAATTGCACTTAAAGATTTTTTATTAATACAATTTTTAGTATCTGATTAAGCTAACATCCAATTCTCTTTATTAATTTGATAATCTTAACAAATTACCTATAAAAGTAATTTTGAATTCACTTTAAGAATTTGACCATTTTCATCACAATAATGTCTAGTAAGTTTTAGGTCAAAGTCCCTAAATTAAATCAATATAGAGAATGTGAAATTCCACAAAAGGTTAGCGTTACCTTCGCATATTTCAAATGTCTTAACTATTTAATTACGTCCAAGTACAATGGCAGTTGGGAATGTAATTTACTTACAAGGTCACTGAACAATTCAATCAATATAGCAATATACGAGTAACATTGATTTGAATCAAATAAAATAGTTACTTAAAACAAAACTTTAAATCACATTAGTGATGTTTAATTTTTACACTAATTTCATTATATTTTTAAATTTCTTTGTCATTATTTACTATGGAAGAGTCACTTCAAGTTCAATATGTTGTCAACAAGCGAACACTCAATTTCACATTCATTCACATATCCGAATGATGCAAACGAGTTATACCAGCGACAGCTACAATTTAATTAATTGTATAAATAAATAGTCAATGTGTTCATATTTTTTGTAATAAATAACTACAGGTAAGTAGGTAATAGAGCTCTAAATGTAAGCTTTGATGTCTATTTGAATCAAAATTGATTACTAAAGCAATTTAGCAATGATTACTAAGGCCTAATTTTAGTCCTTTTCTCTTTCCACCCTTTTCTTAATAGGAAAGGATTGGAAGAAAAAGTGGATTGAGGTGGCCGCTTGCTCGTTTGCCACCTTATATTATAAAAAAAAATCAGACGATACTTTATTGTCTTTTAAGGTGTTTTTCTTATCCGCTTCGGATAACTTTTTGTATCAATTTAGTTTATTTTTTTGCTAATAAATTTGTTCGTCATTCTTCGCCAGACATTTGTCATCTATACATTGGAAGTTCAATCCAAAGTTACATTTTTTGTTAGTAAATTGCGTAAAACGTCTGAGGTAAATAACACTTAATGGTGTGGTCAGAATGTCCTGTCGAGTTCCGCGTTGTTAATATTGGTTAAAGTTAACCGACGAAATTGAACTCTAAAAGCTACACCGCGTGACCTAGAGCGGACAACTGTCTTTTACTTCCTATTAATAGCACACAATGATTGTGCAGGACTTGTATAAAATGACCAGCATTAACCCAGATTGATCATTCACAGTTCACTGTGCAGCAAAACCATACTTACCAAAATGGCAGCTAAGGTAAATTGTGTTTCAAAAACCAATAAAAGTTCACTCATATCCAAACGATAAAAGTACAATATTACTATTAAAAATGTCAATCTAACTTTTACTTTTGTATTTTTCAGTTCGTCGTTGCAGCTTTGTTGGTGGCGGCCGCTCAGGGCAGCGCGATCCATGGCCCCGACTACACTAGCTTCTCATACGGAGTGGCAGACCCCCACACCGGTGATGTCAAGAGCCAACACGAGACCCGCATCGGAGACAGCGTTGTGGGCCAGTATTCGCTGCTGGAGTCTGATGGCCACCGCCGCACCGTAGACTACGCCGCTGGACCTCACTCAGGATTCAACGCAGTCGTTCGCAGGGACCCAGCTCTGATTGCCCACGCCGCACCCGCTGTTGTTGCTGCTCCTCTTGCTCATGCCGCCCCCGCTGTAGCCGCACCTCTGGCGTACGCCGCCCATGCCGCACCCCTTGCTGTCGGAGCTCATGTTGCCCCTGGCGCTGTATCATACTCTGCTCACAGCACCTCCGTTGCCCACGGCACTCCTCTTGCCCACGGAGCCGTTGTAGCTGCTCCCCTCGCTCACGGTGCCGTCGCCTACGGTGCGCACGGTCTCGGTCTCGGTGCCCACGGACTCGGTCTCGGTGCCCACGGACTCGGTCTTGGCGCGCATGGACTCGGTCTCGGCGCTCACGGTCTCGGATACGCCGCTCATGGTCTCGGTCTCGGCTACGGTCATTAGGGATCACACATATCCAACAACTACTAGGCAATAATAATGTAACAACGGATATACTTGTAATTTATTCTATCAACATGTGAGTAAATGATGTGAAACTGTGATTGAAATTTATGAATAAACTTGTAATAAGTTTAACAATCATTTTTACTTTTTACCTTTCCACTATATTATTTCCACACTATTATGTTTAAGTTTATTTAAGTTATTTATGTTTTTTTAAAACAAATAAGCAATAAAAGTTAGTTTTGCAAAAAATCTATAACTTAAAATCACCTACGCCAAAAGCGCATAACTTAATTTGTTATTAGTCACATAGAGACATAGAATACTGTTTGTACATAAGCGTACTTATTGATTTTAAATATATAATTGTAAAAATATAATTAAACTCAAAAGCTAATTAAGTGCGCCACTTCATCGTACTTAATCCCATTACACGCACGTTTAATTTGACGGCTTTTAATTTCGTTACAATTTCACATAAAAAAAAATTAAATATTAAGGAGGTCAAACTTATTTAAAGCTGGAGTTTTTACACGTTTTCCTATTCATTTAAAAGTAGTTAAATCTCTTTTTTAATTTACACGAGTATGAAATATCAATGAGTATTTCGTAAAAACTATAGCTTTGCCGATTGTTAGAATATCACATCACTTTTTTATAATTAATATGAATGTGTCTGTAATACTGACCGTATTACGATGTCCAGGGTCTATTACGAATAGTTGCGTGACAGTTGCGATAACATATTCAAAACAAATTTGTAAATTTTTTTACGCCTGGTGGGTCGCTGTACAAATCTAATATAAATTTTGAGTATGACGTTATGAAAACTATCACGAATATTCATGATAAGTCCTCTACATCATGTATTTATGTGTCATAAATAAAATGGCATTAAAAGCGTGGGAACTTATTCAATACAAATATTAACATTAAGTGACGTTTGCGGTAAATACAAATTAATTAATTCAACTAATAGTACATTTTATTCATATCTGCGATATTATAACAGTCTGTTCATTAATAAAATACCTATCGTGTTAATGACGTAGGCAACATTCTCACGCACATGTCATTCCAACTAATAAGTTATTACCTTCCTTATTGTTCTGTTAAAGATAATGATATCGAAGTAGTTAAGGTCAACACACACAGTAGAAAATATCAACACCAGTTACCAGAATATCTATAACAAATTAAAAAAGATTACTTTAGACCTATAGCGAAAATCTTGTTAATTAGACGAAAATTAAGTTTTTTTAAACACTGATCGGACGCCTAGCCAGAACTGAAGCAGTTTATACATATAACGGGGAGAAATTATTGATACTTTTTGATCGATTAGTTACTGGCAATTAATAATTTTGAGTACTGGCTGAATGTGCATCGTGCATTATAGATGTCAAGCGGCGATTGAATCACAGATGACAGTTGTCTTTGAATGGTGGAATGATGTATTTTGTTATTAAAAAATCAATTAGTTAATCTCTGTAAATATTTGAAATTCGATTAGAGTGTGTTGTGAAGTTATCAATTAAGATGGAGGTCAACTAATGATGGTGTTTCTAGTGTTACGCGATTGTTATTTCATTATCTCCAACATACGCACGACCACGATGGAAGATCGTTACCTTGTAAAAAACCTACCTTCGGAATTGAATTCTACGAACCGCTCTTCACTCCGACAAATATAATATTAAAAAACATGTAACTACTTTCCTCAGATGAACTCGTTTTTAAAAATTAAACATTAGATGTAGTAGGTCATAAGATGTTCATCTGTTTTAATTACTTCGAATTTTAAAATATCGCAACTTTGGGTTAACCATAAAAAAACAAAATATTTCGTCAATTAAATTAACTATTTATTTCTTAAACAACATTATACGTTTAACTTTGGTCCGAATAATTTCATACTATATTCACCAGCCCAAACGAGCGCCGTGTCCGTAAGCGGAGTACGCACCGTGAGCCAGGGGAGCGGCGTAGGTGTTGTAAGCCAGGGGAGAGACGACAGCACGAGCGATGGGGGCTGCGTACGCCAGACGGGGAGTGTGAGCTCCATAAGAAGCATACGCAAGAGGAGCGGCGTGGGCAACAGAGTTGCTGTACGCGGAGTATGACACGGAGGCGGGAGCTACTTGAGTGGCTACGGCGAGGGGAGCAGCGTGAGCACCATAAGCTACGGGAGCGACGCGGGCAGCGTAAGCCAGAGGAGCGGCGTGGGCAGCGTATGTCACGGGAGCAGCGTGGGCAGCGTACGCCAAGGGAGCAGCGTGGGCAACGGGGGCGGCGTGAGCGAGAAGCGCTGGCTCTCTGCGCACGACGGCGTTGAATCCAGAGTGGGCGTTAGCGGCGTAGTCGACGGTGCGGCGGTGGCCGTCGGACTCCAGCAGTGAGTATTGACCCACCACGCTGTCGCCAACTCTCGTTTCCTGCTGACTCTTCACGTCACCGGTGTGGGGGTCCGCCACGCCGTACGAGAAGCTGGTGTAATCACCATGGCTGGCGCTACCGTGAGCAGCTGCCACGAACAAAGCGAATACGACAAACTGAAAAAAAAAATCAAGTATAAATGTCTGGTGTCACTAAAATGTACATGAATATTCAAGAGAAAATTTATATTTAACTTTTAAGAGAATAGTTCAAGTTTCACTAAAGCAAATAATAGTTATCTGCATACAGATATTTTTTGTAGAGAATTAAACCCATAACTTCAATGACTAAACTGTGCTGTATTAATAAAAATAAGACATTGTTCAAGCTGCGAACTTTACCTTAGCAGCCATTGTATGTTGATTGGTTGAACGTCAGTGAGTTACTGAATAACCCTGAAGTTTTTATTCTCTTTTTATATTCACACCAAAGCTTTCAATAAAATAATTTGGGGTGTGTAAAAGGAAGTAATATGATTAATTGCCTATTTAATTTACATACATTAATGGCAGCACTTTCTAAAGTAAATAAAAGGGTTTAAAGTAAATATGTTTTTTATAAGAACCGTTCGAAAAAATTCCACTACATTTGTAATTAGGATTTACATACATTTTACTCCAGCATATAATTACAAATTTATAGAATTCATCAGTCTTTTCTGCAGTTACCAAGTAGCCGATATTTTCTTCAAGACGTGTTAAATTATACACTGAGAAAATTTACAATTCGACGGTGGCAACCTTTTCAACAATGATCTTATCAAACTATTATATTTTGATGTAGGTACTAGAGGTATTAAATGTACTGTTTATTTGATAATTGATTGTAAACAATATCTCTGATTCAATTGTAAGTAACGGAAGCAAAGCAAGAAAATTTGCGGGAAGTATTCATATCGACATCGACAAGATTTTTGCAGTTCTAGAGTTCGTAAACTACACTGATAAATCTCATGCAAATTTTCGTGCTAGTTTCAATTTTAATTTAGTTTCCGAAAAATCACATTTTGTGTACTATTCAATGTTTTTTTATCAATTTCTTACTTCATAATAAAATTAATTATGTTAACCAAATTTAAGTAAATTTGCAATAATTTTGTTACATTTATGGAAAGACACATGACCCACAAATAAGTAATTAAATTTTAAAGGATATTGCAAAAGTTATTTTTTAATTGCATTCTTTTTCTAAACTAGATCAAACTGAGCGATAAAATTTTACAAGCATTGCTTTGTTAGCGGACGATAACTATAGTGGGGGGTATCCTTGTGAGGTCGGCTGTTTCCTGCTACAAATCCGATTGCGTACGGCGCCGATACGTAACAGCGAATTGACCAACTATATAAAGACCATTCATTGTTTCACATGCATCAGTCGAAAGGTTGACAACACAAATACTATACAAAATGTTCAAGGTACTTCATTTTATTTATTTAATGCGATCGTGACAGCGCGTAAAAACTTGAGGGTTGTATTAAATGTAATACAATTATTCTTGAAATGAAATCATTTGTAAGAACCTTTACCATAGATAAAGAAATAAGCAATGGAACACTAAGAGTTTTCCAAAAACATGCCTCTTCAACTTATCGCTGATTCTGGACTACAGCTTCACACTCTCCATATAAGTTCTAGTACTATTACTGCAAAGTACCACTACTAAAAACAGTAATTGATTTTTTTTCAGTTTGTCGTTCTCGCTTTGTTCGTGGCAGCTGCGCACGGTAGCGCCAGCCATGGTGATTATACCAGCTTCT